AATGGCAAACTGGGTACCCCCTTATATTCCCGCGCCTCGGGCAGTTCTAATTTTGAGTCCTTATTGGATCTTAGTGATAGTTTCTTTCCTTATAATTGGCTGATGTGATTACTTTGGTTTTTGTTCACAATACCCAATCGAGAATCGCCCTCTTTTCATGGGTGGTCTTACACAATGAAAAATACGAGCCATTGTTTTCACCCAGACCTCTCCTCACCCAAAGCCCAGGTCACTCACACATCCTTCATTAGCTATTGTTTAATTAATTTCTTTTACATATTTTATTTAATTATTAATTTTTTCAACTGAGGTTTTCAATGATGTTCATATGTTGATGTGTACACTGGGAGCTAAGAAGGAAGATGCAACACTAAATCTATTGATGTTGCTTAGAGACTATGCTAGGTAATATGGAAAAAAGTGTAGAGGAACGCTCAGATCAACAACCTGTCATTCAGTGAAAGAGTGTTTAGTTATCTCTCAAGCGTTGATGGATTTGCGGCATTCTGATTAACTTACTACACTTCCTTCGATGTAAAATACCCGTAGATCTAAGTTAGAGTTATTTATAACTGACTATATCACCAAGTACTTTCCCAGGAACTGAACAGGAGACCATGACAAGCGAGCAACGATTTTATTATCACTTTCTGCAAACGAGATTTGGTTGTTCCAGCTCGTGGTCGTAAAATTATTTGCAGTGACAGGTTCTCAGTGAGAGGGTCTCAAAAACAGAAATCAACTGAGAACGGCGATATATTTAAACCGCAGAAAGATTAATGAACTATCGTAAAAGAAGCACGTTTCGCTAATCCTAGGTTAACGTTTGTTCACGTATTTATGCGGGTGATTTCCGTTTCTAGTTATATAATTATTTTGAACTTCTTTGTTTTTATACGAGACGTTTTGAAGGCGGGGAGGAAACTTGAAAACGGGGGAATCAGACGCTAAGTTATTTGTCCTCTCAATTATTTTTTTTATTAATGGATCATGTTCTACTGAGACATTAACTCAATCATTATTATGACTGAGCCTTATAATGTCTATTTTTTTGTTTTTGGTTTTATATTTTTTCTTTTGTTTTTCAGGAATGGCTCAGGAACAAATTGCGAAGTATCTAGAGAGGTTGGTTTGGCCCTTTGTGAAGCATTTGAACAGGCTGACAAGGTAAATTCACCTCTTTTACGGTCTCCCAACTTGACTTCACTAAACACTTATTTGGATATATCAACAAAGTTGAAATGGTAAATTGGCCACCCTAACGATTACAAAAGCTGACGTTTCGAGCGTTAGCCCTTCGTCGGAGCGAATAGAGGAATTGTGGGTTGTGTGTGCTTTTAAAGCAGAAAATGGAGCTCCGT